GGAGATTCGGCCACCAAATCAGGCCAAATCTCCTCTGAATCGAATCACCACCCGAAGCTTCGCACAGCCCATAGCAGTTACAGCTTTTCCTTGGGAATGCTTTATTCTCAATGCTGATAAAAATTGCCTTAAGGCCTGAATCATGGAAGTTTCTCTCTATCAAAACTTTTTTTTTTAACTCACAAAAGAAACTGGAAAAAGTGAGAGACTCCTGCTAGAACTGCATTACCATTAATGAACAGCACATGCTATCAACAAAGATTCTGTTACCCATGCTGTGTTAAATAACATCATGTTCATTTTGGCCCCATCAGAAACATTAGAGTGGGAGGGAGAATCAATACACTAGATTGGAGTAGCTACTGGAAAAGAACAGAATCATTAGAGGTATTTTTACACAAGCACTGTGAGTCACGGAGACTTTAAAGAAAAAGTGCAAGGAGCTGACACTTTTCTTAACCTAAACTGCAGTATTGTCTGTACATTGAGCAAAAGATAGCTACCACTTCTGTTTCCGGACTCAAAAGTCCAAACAGGGATTTGGACTGTAGCTTCTGATTAGGCAAGTCCATTGCTAAAACAAAATAACGAGAACAAGTTTTTTGACATAGCTTCAGCCATGTCTCCTAGCCAGATGTGTTGAACAGAAAGCACGACTGGGAATATTTCACCCAAATAGCATTTCTTTTCCCAGAGACATCTGCAAGCAAATGATACTTCAGCCTAATGAAATAATGAAGTCCTGAAAATCTGAAAACCAGCACAAATGGCTACCCACCAACAGATTAATTAAGCAGCATCATGAATGGAGTGAAGCATAGCCAGGTATCAACACAATCTTTTTGTCATTTGAGCCAGAGCTGAGGGAAATTTCCTCTTCATCCGGAGGGTTTTCCTTACTAATTAGTATCTTCCCCACAGCTTGGGCTATTTTTATGGTTTCAGCAAACTAAAAGAAAGGGAACTAGATCAAAAAGAAAATACTCGTTTTGCAGAATTAACTGTGGCTGTTGCACTGTTTGATTGAGCTCTCGCAAAACATTCAGCATACTTTTATGTATCAACACCAATTAAAGGACCTATTACAGAAAAATAGATTATGGATTTAAAAAGCACTTGGGATAATTTATGTAGCTGTTAGTATGTGGATATGGAAGGAGGCACTACCCTTCAATGCCACCCAACAAAAAGCCTGTATACAAAGAAATGCTTTCAGAAATGACCTCAACAAGCTGGACAGCAGAACTACTCAGGCTTGGAGTATGTACCGACTTCCACTGCAATGGCAACACAAGACACAAGCTTTCAATTTCCCGACGTTCCTGAGCCTTGGAACCAGAATCTAGGAACAGGAAGTAATGAGAGGGGGTTAAGTGGCTTTATGAAGCTGAACTGAGAACAGAGAAAGACGGCAGAGGCAAAAGGGAGACCTGCTTTTTAGCTGCCATGAGAACTTGTGAACACTACATAGGGGCATAGGACCAGATCAGGTATCCCAGGCTATTTAATCCAGTACCTTGCATTTTCAGGAAATCTTTTACACAAGGAACCCCCCCAAAAATCTCTGCTTCAAACCCTTACGCATAACTGCAAGGCACAATACCTAAAACTGAGAGCTCTCCAAAGGTAAAAGCAGGGGAAAAGAGGGCAAGCATCCTGCTACAACAACTGCAGAGAAGTATTTTTTAAATAAATGCTTAGAAGAATCTTGGAAAAAGACCATGCCACATGCTACGGAGGAATGCAAAACCCCATACGGTCCATGCCAAACCGGCCCAGGGGAAACATTCTTTCTTCACCCCATACATGGCAAAGGAGTATGAACCTGAGCAAAAGAGCAAAGCCTTTTAAGCAGGAATCTCTGGGTTTTCCAAGTACTGATAGAAGCATCAACACACTCCAGTAAAAAACTGCCAGCCACAGCTGTGGCCAAAGTCCAAGCGTTTCAGAGGAAGTTGGAAATCCACCCAAGGATCTAGCAGCATGCATGGGGGGCGAGAATTCATTCCTGGCCTCTACTGGTGATCCCATGACGCATGGGATTGTCAGACACCCACCACACTATAAGAGCTCTCTCTATAACCCAACATGGGATTGTAAATAGACAATTCTATGTCTCACCCATGCTGACCGGCGGGCCAGAATTCCCTAACAAATACTCACAAAGATTTTATCCTCTGACCTAGTCAATAGAAGTCAGACGGCATTAAATCCAATCCTCAGTTTCAGTTCTCAAGTCTTATTGCCACTTGCATACTCTGTCACAACTAATTTGTTTCTAAAATTACCACCATCAAGCACAACGTCAGGCAGCCAATACAGCCATGTGTGCACTGTGTCTACAACATGAAAGATGAGAACAAACATTGATCTGCAAAAGGACCAGTCCTTGGTGCAAAACAGTAAGGGAAGGCTTTGCAGAGAGCTGAGATAACCACCATTCACACCTGCTGAAAATTTCATTTGTCAATACCGCAAGGTTTCTTTTCCTTCCTCTCCAGGAGAAACTAAAATAGCTTTTGCTCTACAAGAAAAATTGCTTGCAAACCACCATTAAAAATAAGATCCAAAATATTTATACATTACTAATTCATTTAAAAGTAGTATGTTTTTAAAAAAATCATTTCCTTAGAAATTTGTTATTTATTACTTATTGTTTGCATTGAGGTAGCACCAACAGCAAGGTGCTAGGATTCCCTTCCAGGGGTGCCACAGTACAGGTGCCACTGGGATTAGGTAGTACTGCTCCATTCCCCTCCTGCAGAAACAAAGCAGAAAGCAGTTCTCCCTGCAATCTTTCTTGCTCCAACCTCACGGGCTCATTCCAGAAACAGAAGCGTGCTAGGCAGGTGGGATCATCACACCCCTGTTTCTGGGAGAAGCATGAAGGACAGACCAAGAAGGGCTGTGGCAAGTCTGCACACCCCAGCCGCAGCCTT